ATCAGATCTATTCCATAGTTATATGCAATTAAAGTGATCATCTCATTAGCCCCACAAGTGTACAGAATATTTTTGCAGCAAATCTACTACAATGGTAACAAAATGTGATGCTACAAAAGTGGAAGTGTGCCCAACACACAAATCTACAGGGTGCTTCCCTCCTCCATGGTAATACAATTAAAATAGTAACAGCAAAATTTCGAACAGATTTATCTGGAAAATGCAAAAATCTATGGGCCTTGAAGAGCCTTGACTCAAAATTGCAAGGCCCTCAACCCTCAAGGCCAAGGCCAAGGCCAAGGCTTTTGCCCTCAAGCCTCGAGGCCAAGGCCAAGGCCCTAAAATCCAGCCTTAAGGCAGCCTTAAGGCCAAGGCCCAGCATCAAGGCACTACATCACTGCTGGTTAGACTGGAATCCTGCTGCTGCACAATTTTAACGTGTTTTTAGATGGGGTTATGATCGAGAATAAGCTTTATGTGGCCTCTCTGGACTCCCATATATTTGCACTAAGTTTAGTCCGGCATTATTTGCAGTCATCAGTCGACATTTGAAGCAAAAAAGTCAGGTAAAAAAAAAAAAAATCCGCGTCGCCGCACCACTTTTTGGACAAGCTCCATACCAGAAACCGGAGACTTTTTTTTGGCCTAAGGTAAGTTGGGGAAAATTGTGCACAAGTATATAGGAAATAATATAATGCCATCAAAATGTAATATTTTCCTGTTACATTATTAGTACTCATGTCAGGTGTTGAAGAATAGCATTTCCAGCAGCCTTAGGCACTGGATCTAGGCGAAAGCCTCAAGTAACATGTAGAGCTGAGGAGACAGTGAGAAGAAATGACAGGTGCATGGGAGAAAAACCCCAGAGGAATATTTTAGGGGATCGGGAAGGGAATGAAAACCCATTCCACATAAAAGATGCAGGAACAGAGCCCTGGACACAACGGTGGGAGGCGAAGAAAGTACCGCTTCGCCAATCTGACTTTGCAGATGAGCCAGTGAGATCTACTGTCATGACACAATCCCAGTGTTGCGCTGCGAATTCAAAGTCATGGCAAATTTACCGTTGAGGACTTTCATAAAATGGCTGTTTTGCAGACAAAGTCCTGTGTCTAGAGCAAATATTGATTTTCAATGTGTCGAATACAGAATGCAGTACTTGTATTCACGTGAACACTGAGCATTGTTTTTCGTGTCGTTCTCAGTGTACGATATACACGATAAGTGCGTTTTGTAGCCCAATTGGCTGTTCCAGGACCTAGTGTCCCTTTAAATGATCAAGCTGATACATAGTCAGCGGCGGCGGAACGGGTTTGAAACTGGGGGGGGGGGGGGGGGGGCATCACCAAAAAGGGGCACTTGCTCAGCATCTTGGCTGAAAGGTCGACACGTTTTTTTCACCGGACACTTGGCCTCCGAAATATCAAATAGTGGTGGGGGGGGGGGGGGGGGGGGGGAGGGGGGGGGGGTAAAACCTTCCAACATAGGGGGCGCTCTTCAAAACCGATGATTATATGATATCTATGCATTATGTGCTCATTTTCAGGGCGTATTGTATGGTTTTGGGGGCATATCATTAGTGGGAAATTGTAAATTTTAAGAAATAGTAAGATAATTTAAGATTTTTCTATTATCTCGATGGGGCAATTTTATGTTCGAGGGGCACATTTATGGCAGCAAAAGGGGCACTTCTGAAAATGCCCCCCCCCCCCCAGCACCCCCGGTTCCGCCGCCCCTGTACAGAGTACTGAAAGGATCTGGGCGCATAAGCAAGTGTGGCCGCAGGAAACGGACTAAACTTGAAGGATTCTTGTAGTAAATAAACATGTACATATTTAACCCTGAAATACGACTTGAATATTGTGATAAAAACGGGGCTCTCTAAATTCAAAGTCAAACGTGGAAAAATTTCTCCGAAAATTTGCTCATTTTTACTATACAAAAAAAAAAACAGGCCAACAAAAGTGTTGCTGGAAAGACGCCGCGCCGGAAAAAGACCTCAAAATTAAAACGTCTGTCAAATTAATAAATGATAATAACCTTGGCACTATTTTAATATTTTTCTGTGTCCGTTGGGGTGATGTTCTATTTCGGAATGTCATCAGCTGGTCTCGCATACAAAGAGAACAAAATGTTATTAACAAGAACTGCCATAATAGACTAGGCAATATTTCAAAAATTGTTACATGAAGAGGCATTTTCGAGTACAAGTTATTAACAAAACTATTTTACCTAATTTCAGGGTGCTGAATCCGAAAATGATGGTTACCAAGCTGATCTTTTAGTGGAGATATGCCTAATTTGCATAAATACTTGCCGTGTAATATATTTGTTCCCATATTTGGGTATATTTTTAATTATTTTATTTTTGGAAAAGCTTATTTTGATAATTCTACTTTTATATTTGACTGCAATACGAACCTGCCAATTTTTATACGAGTTGCGATGATCATGAAGGCAACTCATTTTTTTAGAATATTGATTATAGCAAAAATATCATCCTTTCCCTTATTTATAGTATGAAAATGTTTCCTATACCTATTAGATTAACCTGCAAGGGAGGATCCAGGGGGAGGGCAAACAACAGAACCCATGTTTGTTAACCCTAAAAGGGCTGGGGGCCGAACCCACCCACCCCCCATCCCTCGACATTTTCCGCGATAGCCTTTAAAAATTTTCGCGAACTAAGCTTTTATGACTTTTAGCCTTGAACTTTACGCATCTGTTGACACCAAAAACTTAAAAATCGGACCGCCCCCCCCCCCCCCGGCTTAGAGATGGTCAAAATAACCCGGCCCTTTTAGGGTGAAGTGACGTCGCAATGAAGGCAGGCACTGCAAACACCCATGTGGTATATACATGTATTATGACTGTCAGAGGCAAAACATGACGTCATCACCACAGGTAGCATAATTATCTGCAGGTGTATTTAACATGGGACAGTGTTTCCAAGACATTGTTGTGATGTTAACATTGGAATTTATTTACAATTGTCATTGACTCATTTCATTGATATAGAATTACTATTTCACAAATGCATGAATATACAATCATTCTGAATTAATACCACTAACTATGTGCCATTACAAATTCAAACAAATACCTAACAGAAGCAAGCCACAAACCAAGACATGTAAACAAACCCTGTCCGCCATTTTGAATGTATGTCCCATATTACCCACACCTTGTTGAACTATGAGCTCTCATTCAATGCATAATAATGACCTCATTAAACAATTATAGACCCATACACGTTCAACGGACTTCATAAGCATCCTAAACATCTTCTTTTTTTCACAATTGTATAATCTATGAAATATATTATACAAATATTGAATGCTTCGAGTGGTGTAGTAAAACTAGCCTCCCGAGGTGATCCATGGACATTCTATTTTCCCAAGGCGAAGCCGAGGGAAAATAGAATGGTCCATGGATCACCTCGGTCCATGATCCATGGATCACCTCGGTGAAGAGTCATTTTTATAACTCTTCACCCACAGATTGTGCCTGATTTTAATATTTTACATGATTTAAATCTGAACACAGTTGAAATAAACTTCAATTTCAATACAAAATTGGTGGAAAATGTATTTCTCTCTTAAAAACTAACCCTTCACGAAATGTTTGAACCCAAGTCTGCGGCGCGCTCTCTTTGGAACAATACGCGCTACGCACAACGAGCAACTCGCCCACCAGCATGCATTTGCACAAAAATACCGCGCCGTGGAAATAGTACTTTGGTTGCTAATGGTATAGTACTTTGGTTGCTATGCGCATAGTACTTTTGGCCGTGCACAGAAAGATAGCAAAATTAGAAAGTAACATGTGACTCGCTCTCGGCCAATCAAGACACAGAATCTGTGGGTGAGGTGTTATAAAGGTTAATATCAGAGCAAACATTAACTGTTAACTTCATACACTTTGTCAGTTTTTAATGATTTTTCCACTGAAATGTCCTCTCGTTAAATTGTCCTTTTTGTTCACCTCTGAGAGTGTTTGATCAACAAAGCATCGATTTTAATGCACGCGTCCCCATAATTGATACCTGCAGTCCCACATTGCCTGCACGTTCCCTAGCCTGCGTGAAATTGTCTACAAAGGGACCTATTTAGTCACAATGTATTGCCAACTTACATAACACACCTGTGTTCCACAATACATGCGCAGAAAATATTTTATCTATTCATCATATTCCAATATCTTGGGAAACGGAAAATTTACAGTACAAACAAAAAAGCGACAACAGGGGGTCACCCATTGCAGGTAAATACACGCTTCAGAGTGCGTGTACAACCCCTGCCTTGATTGTGGGGTACCGAAACAATGGAAGGTATGTCCCATGTTGGACAATAATCTTTGTGTAGGGAGACTTAAGAAGAGTTAAGACATTTGAGGTCAAAGGTCTAGGGCCAAGTGAGGTCAATGTTAATTTTGGCTAGATCAACTGAAAAGTGCTGCCATATGAAAAGTCAAACTTCACTCTCAATCAGACTTGGTGACAACAACCTTTGTGTCTGGGGACTTCAGGTGACTTCAGCCATTTGAGGTCAAATGTCATTGTGAGGGGTCAAATGAAATTATTGTTGATTTTTGTTAGGTAAACTGAAAGGTGTGCTTACTAACCGACTGTATACTGCTAACATGCCAGGGGTCGCAATACTTGCATTATTTTTGTTTGCCATACAACTGCACGCCTCGCACGAACACTTGGGTCGTGATGAGAAATCTGCTGGAACAACATTCTAGGAGTATTACAGTGACTTGTCGAAGGGAAACAACATAGAAAAACTGGGCTTTAAGAGACGAAAATGAAAAAAAAAATCTGCCTGTCCTCAAGTAAAACATATGTTCCCATCCTGTTTACTCTGTCATGCCTGGAGTTCAGGGTGTCATGGTGTACTGTGAAGTAAACAATTGGATACAGGTGTTTTGAGGAGATTATAGTCGGTTGGGGAAAGTTGTAATGCAAGTTTGTTAATTGGTCAGCTGTCGCCACTGAATTACCAGTAGTGATGGATACTGAGTTTGTTTTCTTTATGGTCAAAAAGGATCATTCTGATTTCGTCAAGCCAGATGATTTCGAAAGGACCAGCATCAAAGAGTCGCACCAATCCAGTTGGAGTGGCGTTGAAGACGACTCCTTTCCAATCTTCCCTACCCATTCTTGTCTCCACGAATAGATTGAAGAGGCCCTTGCTTCCGTTTCCTTTCACGTCACCGTCATTATACTCCAGTTGCGCATCATTTACGAATTCTCCAAGCAGATTGTAAGTTTTAACAGAACTTCGCACATCTAAGACATTAATCTTTATCTCTAGTAGTATCAAATTATTGATGATCTCTGTATAATACTCCCCAATGTAAGGAGTGGGTAGGCCTACGTGTAGATCTATCACCTTTTGACAATCGCCCGTCTCCTGGCTCCAAATACTAGTAACGCAGACATCGCCTTTCGTGCTGAAACCGAAAATAACATTATCGCCAAGTTGAACCTTTGTCTGTTTCCTTGGGCATTCTAGTTGATGCAAACACTCTCCGCTCCTCGCATCCCACACGTGAATGTGGTCATCATTGCAGACAGCCGCTAACATCTTGTCCCGGTAGTCCAGTTTACCGGTATAATAAACGCAGACGTCGTCCGTATGGTCCACAGTTATGATGCGTTGAAGTAGGCCGTCTTCCACACACCACACGCAAATGTCCGTGGACATCGTGCGTTCCGTATCGGAAGTGTGCACACAGGTTAAGACCAGTTCACCATCAAAGAACAGTGAAACAGTGTTATGGCCCCAGTTACCCTCTATCGTTTGCAGAGTCTGCCCGGTCCTTGCATCAAATGCATCGACCCTCCCATTATCACAAGGCACCACAATTACGCCATCTGTGAACTTGATTGCATACAAATTGCACGCTGAGTTGATAACACACTGAAGGGTCTGGTTCCGAATGTCATAGACATGGATTGTTTGGTTAAAGTTATACATTGCTAGTAGATCCCCATCGACAGAATGGGTGCGAAGATCAGTACGGGGTTTGTCTTGCAAATCGAAATGACATTCCTTGAAATGAGAGCAATTTGTAGCCCAGTTTCTATCCAGATGGTGAGCTCTCATGTAGACGCCTTTCCACCTGCAAGTGCTGGTTAAACCCGCTGTGTTGTCATCAGTCACGATCCTATCATTCTGGAAGGTGGCGCTGTCGTCCCCTGCTTGCTCGGAAGGTCCGTAGGAAGGTATCTTGGCCAGGTCGGTGGTGGTGCCATAGTGTTTCCATCCTTTACTTTGACAAAGAGGGAGCCAGAGTGAATCCTGATTGGTTGCATCGCGTAGCCAACGGCAACATGATGCCACGTGACACAGATCAGTCGCACTCAGATGTTGCAAAACCGTCTGTATTAAATCATCGGGGACAGCATAGATTAGAGATCCACTCGATGCAGCGGTGGTTGATTCATACATACCATTTCCGGGAATTCCAGAGACTGCCATAACCAAAGATATCTGTAAATATATATAACAAAACAAACAAAACAATATTAAAGATTTTTTTTTATAGCAACGACATGAACTGATCTCGGGTTTATCCCCAAACATCAATTTGAAACATCCATTGGGTCTAAAGAGTAGTTCATGTACTTGTGATATGATACATTGTATGTCTTATTTCTTCAACGCCCAGTACGGAATTCATGCATATGTAGATGTAGCAACCAGGACATAAATCTTAAGTTTCACACAAATGAGCTGACATCAAACAGTCCTGAACAAGTTGTCGCGCCCTGAACAGTACTTGGAGCGGAGCCCCATAGAAGAATCACCAATGGCCTTGTTGACTACTACTATCAACAAAGTACAAAAATGTATATCAAAATTCAGCCATTACCAGAAAACCGCTGCACAGTTTGCCCCTGAACTCCGTATTGTACTTATCGACATACTCATGTTTATGCACCAACAATCACTGGTGGATTTGGTCCCAATCCTACCAAAAAATGAAGAAAACAAGTCCGCGTTCCGTACTTAGTAACATGGAGAAGTTACACGTTCATGGGAAGATATCGCTGGCAATTGACTTGTGCGCGTGCGCGCACGGGTAGCATCAGACAGGTAAATCCATAGAGTTATATTAAAAAACTAGAGAGCACACTCATCACGTGACCCCGGGCTGGCAAGGACATTTTGTAAGTGGGCAAAGCACATGCGCACAACACATAACGTTAGGCAAAACAGCACGGTAAAACAAGGCATCGCGGGGGGGGGGGGAGGTTTATAAGACGAACCGACAGTAAAACAACAAGATACGCATTGCAGTCAATCCTAAAGTGTGCACATCCGGGTATTTTTTGCCCACTTACAAAATGGCGGCCAGGTCTACAGGGTGCGACGTCTGCATTGTGCGTGCGGTATAGTGAATGCGCGCTCTAGTTTTTATAAGATAACTCTATAGAGTGGTAGCAGACCAGTAAATAAACTTCCATAGACCCCAATGGTAAATGTTGGCACTTCAGAAATTCGGGAAAAAAGAAGGTGTTCGAGACACACATCAAATGAAAGCTTATTTTATCACCTTTCATTTTCTTTTCAAGTTTCGGGGGGTCAACTGATGACTTTTAGGAGAAATTTCCATCCAAAGATGATCACCCCTAAAAATAGTCCTGAAGCCCATCGCCATTTTGAAAAACGATGGCTACACTCCATTGCAAAATAGAGCGCTTTTAGGGTCCAAATTACATCCAAATTACACACAACTGCAAGCTCCCAGTCCTGTGCACGGCTTCCACCCATATTTTATACAAACCCTCAAGTTCATGGCCCACAATACTCTCAAATACTGAAGATTTTGAGGGCATGCACATCGTGATTTGGCCGGCGTAGGCAATTTGGGGCCTATTTACTGGTCTGCAACCTTTAAAGAAGCAAAAATGTTCATTTTATCCCCAGACCGCATTTAAGGCAAGAAGAAGTATCCATAAATCATATTTCATTGAAAAATTGAAAGAAAAAGTACTCTCCGGATAATTACAGGCATGAATATGAAGACTGTCTTTAACACATTATGGCTTGCCTGCCATATGTGCATTGCAGATTGGTGATGCCCTTTTCCCACTGAAGCTGATGAATAACAACCCCTCTTACATTGGAAATATGTTTCTTGGTTGACAATTAGGGTTAGAAATTACTGCAACCCTATGGGTAAATCACAGTTAGTCCGGTTCCCTGACCCCATTGTCCTTCGGACTTGAACAATGGAGAAGCAGTCTAAGTCAAAGTGCGCGCTCTGATGGGGCGCCTTTCGAAGCGACCAATCAGGGTGCACTGTGATTGGCCCATCTGATGCTAGCCATGCGCGCACACATACATGTTCAAGTCAATCGCAAGCAAACTTTCTATGAACGTGTAATTTCTCCAGTTGCTCAGTACGGAACGCGGATTTTTTTTCATCATTTTTTGCAAATCGGGACCGAATCCACCCGGAATTCGGTCCTGATCTTTGTTTTTAAGTTATAGTGGCAGCTGTCAATCATCAAAGCTAACAAACAAACAAAAAATAATAGGGGTAGACTCGAGTCACAAACATCAGTGACTCATTACAACTCTGCACAGGTGTATGGCTGTGTACAGAATCATGCAATGATTACATGTAGGTCTACTGGTTTTCAATATGGCGCACGAAGAAATGCAGTACTTTTTATTCGCTTGTACCTGAACACTGCGAGTTTAAGTTGTACAATGGAATAGGCATACATGTATACAATACCACTGCATGAGTACAATACATGTAGGTTTCACTGGTTAAACTGGACGCTACGTGTTTTCATTCTGCCCGAAAGCCGTCCGACTTTTGCCCGAAATTACAGGATAACTATAGGCCTAGCCTCTGAATGTACGGAATTCAATGTTCGTTTCTTTTTTTGCTAATAAGCAGTCATGGTGGATTAGGTTATAATAAAGTGACAAAATATTTCCAATATTAATTTGATTTACTGCTCCCCTATAGCAATGGTCCTTTCAGCATGTGTGGCTGTAAAATACGGAGGAAGTCCAGTATTTCAGCCACATTATATGGGGCTAGATAATGATGAAAATAGTGACTACTAACCAAAAGTGTACATCCTGGACAAGGACCGACTCAGATTGGGACCTGGGATGCTCTGAAACGTGCAAAACTAAATCAGGCCAACTTTACTCACTCTTTAGCCAGCAAATGCCTCCATAAATGCCATTTAGCCCCTCCCCTCCAAAAAAGGCCTCAGCATTTCACCAACCACGTTTGCAGACTCAATTCAATTTTTAAGGAAGACATTTTTCAATATTTGGCACATTAGAGGGAGGTCAAATGATTTAAAAATGAGGCTACAGACAATACTTGTACATGTTCAACCATGGTCCAAATATAGAAGGGAAAAAAGACTGAACTCTTCATTTAGAGTCATTAGTCTGGTGGCTGTCTATGGAGAAATGTGTAGTAAATAGAGACAAGTTCCCTGTTCATGCTAGCCCCATAAATGTGGCCTATTTACTGGACTACCTCCGTAAAGTAAGGCCAAACGAGAATGTTGTTCACGACAACGCACCAGACGAAAATTGAACTCACTTGCGGCGCCTGAAAGTGGTGTGGTACCCTCATACATCGCGCGCGCAGATTTTTTTTCGATGTCATCACGTGATGCATGCATAAATTAACCAAACAAAATGGACGACAGCCATAGGAACTGGAAGTTTCTTTACGGACAAGCCACCGAAATCGTCGAGATTTTTTACATTTTTTCTTTCTATTTTGCGGTCTGTTTCAAGTCGATCATAAGCTTCGTGAATGACTGCTGAATGGTATGAGGTATGTAGTAGGACAATTTTTGAGAGGTTATTATTATAGGGCCTCTTGCTACCACATTCTCACACCTAGGTTTAGCCCCATAATGTGGCCAGTTTACTGGACTGCCTCCGTAAACATAGGCCACACATCCCTGCATATCGCATATTGCGCGAGGGCATTGTTCAGTTGGACCATGGAGGTAGAATCCAAGTTGCCAAGAAGGCTCCAGAAATAATCGTAAATTACGCAGCAGCTGGGCAACTGACACTGGCAGCAGGTTCCCATTATGTTATTAAGACTGGGTGAGTGTATTTTTAAAGCATAAATGAACTGGGTCTGAAAATTTCGCCGAGTCAGATTCCAAGATGGCGGATGTGTGGCCTATGTTTACGGAGGCAGTCCAGTAAACTGGCCACATTATGGGGCTAACCTAGGTTATGTCTCCAGCGCTACATGTGAATGAATATGAGCATGTCAGCTGGAGTAGGCCAAGTCCGTTTGTTTTGTAACTTTCACAAACCAAATACGAGGACGAAGGTACAGAAAAATTATGACAACGAAGGACGAACACACTATACAACACAGGTTTGTACACAGTTTACGTGCTCATGCTAGTTCATTGCAGGTGGCGCAACGTGAATCCAAAATAAAAGTTTCACAAGATTAAAAACGCTAACTATAAATCTGTAAAATACCTCTCCAATGGCGGCGTAAACTACTACAGAATGTTAACTGCTCTGCAGTTCAGGAACAATCTCGCCTAATAATTCGATAACTAGAAGCGATGAAGGAACAGTAATTCTTGTGCGTTATGAAAAACCCTGAACGCGTTGATAATTATAATAATAGGTGCGGCCTAGAGACACTTGCAAAACACTACAGTACAGTATACACAGTGCTGCTGGTACTAGTGCTGTTGTTACCAATCGTTGACCTCTGACACTCCGTGTGGTATGGCGCGCCACGAGGGCATAAATAACAGTACACACAAATTCCAACTAAATATTCTTGTGTCACCGCAAAGGCCTTATAGCTCCTGCACGATACCAAATGCTTCAAGGTTAAAATTTCGAGTTGAAAACCTTACTAAAACAAAAACATTGATGCACAAACAAGTGCTGAAAAGAACAACATTGGCGCATGCGCATTTAAATGTGACCGCTGTGCCAAGTAATGTTTGCTTTGAAGGGAATACTTTTCAGACGTTCGAGTTCACAGCGAGTCATGAGTGAAAGCGCAATAACATACAACTGTTTCTTTGACGAAACAGTCTAGCTACGCCCGAATGTCATGCAAAGCGCACATTTTCCCCATAAAGGCCATTGCTAAATTAAACAATTTTCGTGAAATTCTACATAGCTTAAATATTCTAAAACATTGTTTTAAAAGGTTCCCAGATCCCATTGCTTAATGGCATGAACCACATGCTACAACCAGTGCGCGCACAGAGCTGTTCAGTGTCAATTCGCTCTACATTGTATATACCGACCACATCGTTTATACATTCTTGTTTAAAACTATGTACACTCGGAATGGAGGCGGAAAATTAGCCCAACTCAACTTTCACAAAATCTGTTGAACAATGTAGATTTCAATTCAGACCATGGTTAAAAACAAACATTGAAATTATTATCAGTACAAATCGTTCCAGCAAATATTCTACAATACAGAGGCT